GAGTCTCCTGCCTCAGCCTCCCAAGTAGCTGGGACTACAGGCGCCTGCCACAACACCTCGCCATTTTTTGGTTGCAGCCATCATTGTTGTTTGGTGGGGCCTGGCTGGGGATTCGAACCCGCCACCTTAGGTGTATGTGGCTGGCGCCTTAGCTGCTTGAGCCACAGGCACCGTGCCTTCAGATGTTTTCGTTACATGAAGTAAAGTCTCATCTCTTTCTTATTTGCTAGGAATGAGAACGGAAAATTATCAATGCCTTTTTTCTGTATCAATTGGGATGATCATATAATTTTTTTGTTCTGTTATTGTGCTGAATTATGCTAATTTATTTTCAAATAGAAAACCATCTTTCTACTCGACAATGATTAAATTGCTGAGGACGGACAGCATCCTGGAGTGCAAGGGTGTCTGCTGATTTTCAATGGGGACAAAGAACTTATCTTCAGAGACAGAAATGTCAGATATCCAGTCTTTACCTCTCTCTAATAATAACTGCCAGAGGCAAGAAGCTTGCTTATCACCCCTTCTCTCATGCCAAATGAGCACCCAGCCAGCCAAGAATTCGCACAGGCAGAGCCACCGAAGAGAAAATCTAAGTCCCATTCCCAGGGAGAACCTGCCCTAGAACGCACAAGCTATTTTCCGAATGAAAATCAGGGTCCAAGGTTTTAGCCACTCTGTCCAGCTCTGAAGCCTGAATGCCTGGGTTCAAACCCTAGCTCTGCCTCATTCTGGCTGAGAGAACTTGAGCAAGATCTGAATCTCTCTGAGACAGGCACATGTTAAGTACCTATATGAATGGTTCTTATGAAGACTAACTGAGATAAAATAAGCAACATGCTTACCACAATGCCTCGTTTACATAAATGTTCCATAAAAGTTAGCTTTTATTAGTTTGTTCCAAACACGATGTCACACTTAAATCTCAAGAGAAAGAGTGTGAGTGTGTGGTTCAAGTTCCAAGGGAGCCTATGAAACCCGTTACAACTATGCCTACGCTCTTTCAAGTAAACCAACAACAACAAAAAGGCATGTTAGCAGTTTTGAAGAAATGCTTGAGAAATGTTTTGCTTGATGGTAACTAACATATAATCATAGGAGCATCTTCCCCTCTTGCTCTGCTATGTCATTCAAATGTTTAAGGTTTCTAACTTTATATTTTGGCACAACTTCCACTTTGTGTATTCATATGTTGAAATGCCTAATCCCCAATGTGCTGGTATTTGGAGAAGGATCTTGGAGAGAGATTGGGGTTAGAAGAGGTCATGAGGGTGGGACCCTCATGATGGGATTAGTGTCCTTCTAAAAGACACCAGAGAGCTTGGACTCTCCCTCAGCACACACACAGCACACACAAAGCACACAGTGAGAAGGCTTGTTCGCCTGTCCAGAACCAGAAGGGAGAAACATTTCTGCCATTTAAGCCACCCAATCTATGGTATTTTATTACAACCACCCAAGCAGACTAACACAGCACTATAACCCAGATTCTCACCACTGGGAGAAAGTAGGGATTCTCAGTATTTTCACGGCCATGGACACCCTTTCTTTGGCTATTTGGTGAAGCTGATGAACTCAGGAAGATGCTTATACTTATTTATTTTTATTGTATCTTGAGACAGAGTCTCACTATGTTGCCCTCAGTAGAATGTCATGCTATCACAGCTCACAGCAACCTCAAACTCCTGGGCTTATTAAGTGATTCTCTTGCTTTAGCCTCCTAGGTAGCTGTGACTATAGGTGCCCGCCACAGGCCTGGCTATTTTTTTATTGTAGTTGTCATTGTTGTTTAGCAGGCCCTGGCCGGGTTCAAACCTACCAGCTCCACTATATTGTTGCCAGCTCTCTAACCACTGAGCTATGGGTGCTGAGCCAGGAAGATGCTTTTAAATGCATACAATACAAACAGAAATACAGTTATATTAAAAAGCATATTTGCAATTGAATAACAGGAATATCATCTAGCTGCAGGTCTAATAATGCACTTTTTTTTTTTTTTTTGAAACAAAGTCTTGTTCTGTTTGTTTTTTTGTTCTGTTTTTTTCTTTTTGAGAAAGTCAGACTCTGTGGCCCTGGGTAGAGTGCCGTGACATCATAGCTCACAGCAACCTCAAACGCCTAGGTTCCAGCCATCTTTATGCCTCAGCCTCCCAAGTAGTTGTGACTATAGGTGTCACTACAGTGCCTGGCTAGCTTTTCTGTTTTTAGTAGCGTCGGGATCCCACTCTTGCTCAGGCCAGTCTCGAGTTTTTGAACTCAGGCAGTCCACCTGCCTTGGCCTCCCAAAGTGCTAGGATTACAGGTGTGAGTTACTGTGCCCGGTCGAGTCTTGCTCTGTTGCCTGGGTAGAGTGCACTGGCATCATTATAGCTCTCAGCTCACAGCAACCTCCGACTCCTGGACTCAAGCCGTTTTCCTGCTTCAGCTCCCAAGTAGCTGGGACTACAGGTGTGCACAACCATACTGGGCTAATTTTTCTATATTTAGTAGAAATGGAGTCTGCTCTTGCTCAGACTGGTCTCAAACTTCTGAGCTCATGGAATACTCCCATTGTGACCTCCCAGAGAGCTGGGATGACAGGCGTGAGTCATGGCACCCAGCCTAATAATGCCCTTTCTATTAAATTTCAAAGTAGTAGAACACATTATTCTTAGTAAAGCATCACAAGAATGGAGAAGCATGAATCCTATGTAGTCAATTTTGATATGAGGACAATTAATGACAATTAATGACACGGTGGGGGTGGAGGAAGGGGAGAGCAGAGAGAAAAAAAAGGAGGGAGGGGTGGGGTAAAGGAAGAGCAGAGATAGAGTCGGAGGGAGAGGGGTGGGGTCGTGGTGTGTGGAAGAGGGACTTTACCTAACAAGTGCAATCAGTATAACCTTGTTTCTTGTACCCTCAATGAATCCCCAACAATAAAAAAAAAAAAAAATTCAAAGTAGTGATGTGTGTGAGTGAAGATAACTACCATAGCTGGAAAGGACAGGAAAACATCCGTAATTTGTCCTGATGATGAACATACAGGTTCCACCAAGCCTAACAGTGGTTTGTTGTTAACATTCATCACAGAAGGAAAGGAAATGCTCAATCCAGCTAGTGTTTATTAAAAATGAAGCCGTACCGTTTTTTCCCCAGACACAGAGACTTCTGCAGAGGGGACTGCAGAGAATTTGGGGCGCAGTACCTTCTATGCTGCGAATGTCGTTTCGCCACAGCTCCAGGTGTGTCGTCATCTCGCGAGCCTTCTCCAGGAATCTCTTCCAAGACTTGCTGCTATACCGTTTCCACTGATCCCACTCGGAGAGATACTTCATTTGGGTCTCCTGAATGTCCCTGTATTAAAAACACGATCATGGCTCAGCTACTCTAGCACAGTGGTTATGGCGCTGGCCACAAGCACCGAGGCTGGTGGTTCGAACCTGGCCCAGGCCAACTAAACAACAATGACAGCTGCAGTAACAACAACAAAAAAAATAGCCGGGCATTGTGGTGGATGCCTGAACTGAAGTCCCAGCTATTTATGAGGCTGAGGCAAGAGAACCGCTTAAGCCCAAGAGTTGGAGGTTGCTGTGAGCTGTGACACCATGGCACTCTACCCAGGGCTGACACAGTGAGACTCTGTCTCAAAAAAAAGAAAAACACATGATCATGACAATGGCGATGGTGGCATCATTGAGCCTCCACATCCAATAAAACCCCAGCTGAGAGAATGGGAGAAACCTGGAGGCCTCACACACGCTGCTGGGAATATAAAACAGCACCGTCACTGTGGACAACAGTCTGGCAGTTTCTCCATATGGTAACTGTGGAATTGCCATAGGAGCCTGCAGTTCCACTCCTAGGTACAAACCCCAAAGCACTGAAAACAGGGCTCTCAAATGAAAATCTGCCATGAATGTTCATGACACCATGAATCTCTATGGGCAAAAGGTGGGAATGACCCAAATGTCCACAAAGAGAGGAGTGGGTTAAAAATCATGGTGCAGCCCCACGATGCAGCATTATTCAGCTTTAAAAAGAAATGAAGTACCGATTTGTGCTACAACACAGACGAACTTTGAAACACACTAAGTGAGAGAAGCCGGACACAAAAGGTCACGTTACTGTATGGTTCCATTTGCACTGAATGTCCAGAGTAGGCAAATCTATAGAGACGGACAGTAGGTTAGGGGCTGCCTGGGGCCAAGGGGAGCAGGAAACACAGTGTGGCTGTTTAATGGGTACCAAGTCTCCACTGAAGGAGATAAAACATTTCTGGAACTGGACAGTGGTGACAATTGCACAACATTCTCAGCGTACTGAATGCCACTGAACTGTATGCTTTCAAATGATTCAAACTAAATCTTGTGTGTATTTTTACAATAATTAACAAAAAGGGTTTTGGGGTTGTCTTTTGTTTTGAAACAGAGTCCCACTTTGCCACCCTTAATAGAGTGCTGTGGCATCACAGTTCACAGCAACCTCGAACTCTTAGGCTCAAGGGATTCTCTTGCCTCAGCCTCCCAAGTAGCTGGGACTACAGGTGTCCACCACAATGCCCAGCTACTTTTAAAGATGGGGTCTCGGAGCAGTGCCTGTCACTCAAGGAGTAGGTTGCTGGGCGCATATACCGGGGGTGGCAGGTTCAGGCCCAGCCCTGGCCAAAACTGAAAAAAAAAAGATGGGATCTTGCTGTTGCTCAGGTGGTCTTGAACTCCTGAACTCAAGTGATCCACATGCTTTGGCCTCCCAGAGTGCTAGGATTATAGGTGCGAGCCACCACAATCTGCCTCATGATTAACAAAAAGTTGTAAAAAAGAGATTTTTTTTCTAATTTTATGATTCCTCATTATTTACAGAATAAAAAGCATATCCTTTCAGCTAGAATTCAAAGCCCCTCTCAGCCAGGCCCTGGCTTCCAGGCTGCTCCAGTCCTCTCCTCCACCCCAGGCCAACCATGTCTCACCGGTTCCTGAACCTGCCCTTGGGGTCTTGGCAATTGCCTCTTTCTACTCTGTGAACACTATACATTCTTCCTCTTTTCCAAAGGAGACATAAAAATTGCTCTTATGTCCACCTCCATTTTATTTTCCTCCCTTCTAAGTTATGAAGCTGGCATTACAGGCCGTGCACTGGCTTATCTACAAGGGCTTTTCTTTTCTCTTTTCGGGACGAGGGGACAGAATCTCACTCTGTTGCCCAGGCTAGAGTGCCATGGCCTGAACCTAGCTCACAGCAACCTCAAACTCTTGGGCTCAAGTGATCCTCCTGCTTCAGCATCCTGAGTCACTGGACTATAGGTGCCTGCCAAAATGCCCCGCTGATGTTTCTATTTTTTAATAGAGATAGGGTCTCACTCTTGCTCAAGCTGGTCTTGAACTCCTGAATTCAAGTAATTCTCTTGTGTTGGCCTCCCAGAGTGCTAGGATTATAGGCTAGAGCCATTATGTCCAGACCACAGTGGGCTTTTCAATCTTGCACAGATCCTTCATCTCAGGGGCTGACCAGCATCACTGGTCTCTACCTACTAGATGCTGGTAGCACTGCCCTTCAGTTATAACAACAGACCTTGTCAAATGTCCATAGGGAGGCAAAATTTCCTCCAGTTAAGAAACACTGGCCTAGGCACTGCCTATAGCTCTGTGGCTATGGCGCTGGCCACATACACTGGGGCTGGCGATTTCGAACCCAGTCCAAGCTTACCAAACAACAATAACAACTACAACAAAAAATAGCTGGGCATTGTAGTAGGTACCTGTAGTTCCACCTACTTGGGAGGCTGAGGCAAGAGAATCACTTAAGCCCAAAAGTTGGAGGTTGCTGTGAGCTGTGATGCCATAGCCCTCTACCCAGGGCAACATAGTGAGACTCTGTGTCAAAAAAAAAGAAAGAAAGAAAGAAAGAAACACTGGCCTGTAGGAATATAGAAACGTTAGAGTCACTGCCCAAGTGGGTTGACACTCTAGGTAGGGCAGGGGTGACCCACAGGCAAGCAAGCAAGTATAGCCTGTGAGCTATGACTGGCTTTTGCTTTTTTTTTTTTGAGATAAGAGTCTCACTCAATTGCCCTGGGGTTGAGTGCAGTCTCACTCACAGGAACTCAAACTCTTCAGCTTAAGCAATCCTTTTGTCTCAGCCTCCTGAGTAGCTGGGACTACAGGTACCCACCTAAATGCCCACCTAGTTTTTCACTTTTTAGTAGAGATGGGGTCTCACTCTTGCTCAGGCTGGTTTTGAACTCCTGAGCTCAGGCAGTCCACTCATCTTGGCCTCCCAAAGTACTAGGATTATAGGCATGAGCTACCATGCCCAGCCTGTATTTTTTAAATAAAGAAAAAAATCAAAAGAATAATATTTTGTGATATACAAAAATCACAAGAAATTCAAATTTCAGCATCCATCAATAAGTGTCATTGGAACACAGCCACGTGGCCTTCATTTATGCACTGTCCCCAGCTGCTTTCACACTACAACAGCCGAGGTGAGCAGCCAGGACACAGACACCGTGGCCTGCAAAGCCTCCAGTGTGTGCTATCGGGCTCTTTCCAGATAACGTTTGCTGACCGCGAGTGTAACATGGAAGCAGCGTCCTGACATCCGACAACTACAGCCCTCTGGGAGAAGTGCCACAAATGGGCACGTGGTCAGCGGTTCTTGAGACTCAGAGGAGCACCCCAAGTCCAGGCTGGTGTTGGAGGAGGGGCAAAAAGAAGGCACCAGGGCCTGAAGGTGAGCAGGAAGGTGAGGAATTTGGAGAAAGCAAAGCATCTGGTCAGGCCGCAGCACAGCATAAGTGTGGGGCGAGGAGATGGCCCTGCCTTCCACTGCACACACTAGGGAGTCTGTCTCCACCCCACAGAGCCCTCTGCCAGCCAGCCAGCCATACCATGTGACCCATGCCTCCACCCTCCCTCCAGCCCGTCCTCCTCCATCAGACAGGGAGCTCCTGTCAAAGGAAGGGCTATAAACCTTGCATTGGAGCAAGCAAGCCTCTTTGATGTGCCTCACTTTGCTTATCTGTAAGTTGGGCTTAATAAAATACCTACCCTTAGACCAGTGGTTCTCAACTGGGGGCAACTTTGTCCCCCAACCCCTGCCAGGGGACATCAAGCAATGTCTGGGACATTTTTCATCACCACAGCTGTTTAGCAGAGACCCTGGCCTCCACGTATCAGATGCCAGGAGCAGAAGGAAATGTGCCCCTGATAAGTAGAGGCCAGGGTCGCTGCTAAACATCTTACAATGATGCGCAGCCAGCCCTCCACTATGGGACTCTCTGGCTCCAGGTGTCAGTGAGCAGTAGAGCTAAGGTTTAACCCTGGCCTCCGAGGGTTAATGGTTGATATGGAGATTAAAGGAAGTAAAGAGCCTGGAATAACACCTGGCTGGATGTAAGTAATAGTAACACAATAACTATTAGGCATTCATATTATCATCTTTGAGTGCATTTCTTTGCCAAGTCCTAGAGATCTGCTGGTAAATCAGAGAGACATGGCCTCTGTTCTTATGAGTTTATTAGTTTCTTTTTTTGTTGTTGTTTTGGCTGGGGCTGGGCTTGAACCCGCCACCCCCGGTATATGGGGCTGGCACCCTACTCCTTGAGCCACAGGCGCTGCTGGAGTTTATTAGTTTCTTTTTTCCAACTACGCTGGAAGCCCCTTGATGAAAGAAAATATGTCTCTCTCATGGGTGTGGCAAAGTTTGCTGTAGAGCAGTAATATTGTATAAAAATTCTTGGCCTGGGTGCGGTGGCTCACGCCTAAAATCCTAGCACTCTGGGAAGCCGAGGCAGGTGGCTTGCTTGAGCTCACAGGTTCGAGACCAGCCTGAGCAAGTGCATGACCTCATCTCTAAAAAATAGCTGGGGCCAGGCCCGGTGGCTCATGCCTGCAATCCCAGCATTCTGGGACGCTGAGGTGGGTGGATTGCCTGGGCTCACAGGTTTGAGACCAGCCTGAGCCAGAGTGAGATCCCACTTCTAAAAATAGCTGGGCATTGTGGCGGGTGCCTATAGTCCCAGCTATTTGGGAGGCTGAGGCAAGAGAATCATTTGTGCCCAAGATCTGGAGGTTGTTGTAAGCTGTGACACCATAGCACTCTACCAAGGGCAAGAAAGTAAAACTCCATCTCAAAAAAAAACAAAAAAACAAAAAAAACTGCTAAGATTTTGGCAGGCACCGGGTGGCTCACACCTGTAATCCTAGTGCTCTGAGAGGCTGAGGAGGTGGATTGCTTGAGCTCACGAGTTCAAGAACAGCCTGAGTAAAAGCAAAACCCCATCTCTACCACAACAGAAAAACTGAGGCAAGAGGATCGCTTGAACCCAATAGTTGGAGGCTGCTATGAGCTATGACGCCACAGTACTCTACCTAGGGCAATAGCTTGAGACTCTGTCTCAGGGGGAAAAAAAAAGCCAGGCCTTGTAGTAGGCACCTGTAGTCCCAGTTACTTGGAAGGCTGAGACAAAAGAATTGCTTGAGCCCAAGAGTTGGAGGTTGCTGTGAGCTGTGACACCATGGCCTTCTATGGTAACCAAGGGTCACAAAGTGAGACTCTGTCTCAAAAAAACCCCAAACAAACAAACAAAAAGAATTCAAAATCTGTGAATCTGGCCAGGTACAGTGGCTCACACCTATCTATAATCCTAGAACTTTAGGGGGCTGAGGTGGGTGGATCACCGGAGCTCAGGAGTTCAAGACCAGCCTGAGCAAGAGCGAGACCTCATCTCTACTAAAGAGAAACAACTAGCTGGGCATGTGGTGGCTCCTATAGTCCCAGCCACTAGGGAGGATGAGGCAGGAGGATCGCTTCAGCCCAAGAGTTTGAGGTTGCTGTGAGCTATGATACCATGGCTCTCTACCCAGGGTGACAGAGTGAAACTCTGTCTCAAAAAAAAAAAAGCAACACACTCACAAAATCTACGAATCTGAAAAAGTAATAAAATGTACTCAAAGTCTTGCTTTATTCACATATTTTTTGAAAATGCAAAGTCCTCAAAATTAAAAATAAAAATCACCAGCTGGGCTCTGTGCCTCACACTTATAATCCTAGCACTTTGGGAGGCTGAGGCAGGAGGATCCCTTGAGCTCCAGGATTTCAAGCCCAGCCTGAGCAAGAAGGAGATGCCGTGTTTCTACTAAAAATAGAAAAATTAGCTGGGTGTTATGATGCTTGCCTGTAGTCCCAGCTACTTGGCATGCTGAGGCAGGAGGATCACTTGAACCCAGAAGTTTGAGGTTCCTGTGGGCAAGGCTGATACCAAGGCACTCTAGCCTAGGAAACAGAGTAAGCCTCTGTCTCAAAAATAAAATAAAATAAATAAAAATCACCAAAGATAATGTGTTTTCAAAGCTACAAGGCAGTGCATTCAGGCCCCGTGTTTACACTACTATCTCCGAATACCCCCCCCCTTAGAGAGTTCAGGAGAAACACCCAGCTCTGCCATTATAGCAAGTCAATGGGAAAATCATGTTTTGAATTCTGCAAGAGTGGAGGAGATGGCAAGCTACCACCAAAATCCCATCTCCCCTACCTGGCACTAGCTGGGGGTTTCCCAGATGTCCTGGCGGTCAGGTTTGGCCACATGACTAAATTTTCTCCCGTACAAATGTAAGTAGAAGTGGTACATCCAACTTACAGGCTTGGTGTGTGCATGCACTGTTGCAATGCAACTTTGCAGCTCTTCCCATTAGGAGGATAAATCTCTTTTCCCACTGACTGAATTTGGGCTGGCCCTGTGACCTGCTTAGAATGAAGAATGCAGTGGAAACAATGCTGTGCCCATTCTGAGCCCAGCCTTGGGAGGCCTGGCAGGCCTCTGCACCTCTCTAGGTTTCCAGCTGTTATCACATAAGCAAGCATGAGCTAAGCTGACAGAGGATGACACCACGTGATCATCCCAGTCAAGGCTAACCCAGATCAGTTTAAAGCAAGCTGACTCCCAGGCTAGATTAGAAGAGCCATCCTCCCAACCACAGCTGACTACAGATATGCAGTGAGCCAAACTGAAACAAGAATTGACCAGAGAATTTACAGACTTGTGAAACTGTTGTTTTAAGCTACTAGATTATGGGTGGTTTATCATGCTGTGTAGCTAACTGGTATACTCAAACTCCGTACTCTCCCCTTCCAATGTCTGAATGGGGATGAAATGAGTCTTTGGGCCTGCAGAGCCACAAGATGGAAGGAGCCTGGATCTCTGATTGGCTGCCAACTCCCCTACTGACCTGAATCTAGTACTTCATGCAAGCTCAAGAAATAAAATTCTAAAACTCTAGGCTCAGTGCCTATAGCTCAGGTGCCAGCCATGTACACTGGAGCTAGCAGGTTCAAACCCAGCCAGAGTCTACCAAACAACAACAATTACAGCCAAAAAATAGCTGGGCGTTGTGATGGACTCCTGTAGTTCCAGCTATGTGGGAGGCTGAGGCAAAAGAATCACTTAAGCCCAAGAATTTGAGGTTGCTGTGAGCTGTGATGCCATGGCACTCTACCAAGGGCAACATAGTGAGACTCTGTCTCAAAAAAAAAAAAAAAAAAGAAAGAAAGAAAATTGTAGTATGTTGAGCTATTACATGTCTGGGTATCTTTGTCACAGAGTCTTGGCTTACCCTAAGGTAGTGATTTTCAACCAGTGTGCTGTGAAAGAATCTTAGGTATGCCATGAACATTTTTAGAGATCATTAATTAATTTCCAGAGAAGTTCAAAGCACAGTAACTGTATATATATATTTTTTTTTAATTTTTTTTAGACAGAGTCTCACTATGTCACCCTCAGTAGAGTACCATGGCATCACAGCTCATAGCAACCCCAAACTCCTGGGCTTAGGTGATTTTCTTGCCTCAGCCTCCCGAGTAGCTGGGACTACAGGCGCCCACACACCACTTGGCTATTTTCTTTTTTTTTGGTTGCAGTTGTCATTGTTGTTTAGCTGGCCCAGGCCAGGTTCAAACCTGCCAGTCTTGGTATATGTGGCCGATGCCCTACCCACTGAGCTACAGGTGCCTCCCAACATATTATTTTTTTATATACATAATTTAAATGTGCTGAGGAAGTTTAACTATAGGTGCCAGTGTGCCATGAGATTAAAAAAAGTTGAAAAACACCGCCCTCATGGGCGGCGCCTGTGGATCAAAGGAATAGGGCGCCAGCCCCATATGCCAGAGGTGGCAACTGCAAACCCCGCCCCAGCCAAAAACAAACAAAAAAACCCCACTGCCCTCAGTAATAAAATTTTAATTGCATGAGCTCTTCAAAAATGGGGGCAGCACCAGTGGGTAGGGTGCTGGCCCCATATACGGAGGTGGCAGGTTCAAACTCGGCCCGGCCAAACTGCAACAAAAAAATAGCCTGGTGTTGTGGCGGGCGCCTGTAGTCCCAGCTACTCAGGAGGCTGAGGCAAGAGAATCACCTAAGCCCAGGAGTTGGAGGTTGCTGTGAGCTGTGACATCACAGCACACTACTAAGGGTGATAAAGTGAGACTCTGTCTCTAAAAAAAAAAAAAAAAAAAGTATTCTACGAATAAAATGCATCTCTGCCCATAACATACATTAGGTAGTTTCCAGGTGACTAATGGACAAACCTTAGTCTCCGCTTCTCGGAGATGTTGAGCGCATACTTTCGAATGGATTGGCTATTGAGGTTATCAGTGAGTCCTTCCTCCAGGTTGGAGCCATAAGAGTCTGTCGGCTTCAGCAGAATGCTACTTTGCTTGTCCCGGGTCAGGATGTTTGTCCTCCTGCGTGCGATGGACCGGTAGCTTGGCAATTCTTGAAGGAAGTTCACAGGTGGGGAGGAGAAGCAACTCGAGTCCAGGGAGGGGTTCTCTGGGTAAGAGAGAAAGCCATCATTCACTCCAGTGAGCTTGGGAGCCAAACCACAAAACTTTAATCAGAGACTTGGACTCCATAACTAACCTTGGCAGATAATAACTGGCAACAAGAACATTTGGAACTGGGTAGGCATGGTGGCTCACTCTTGTATTCCTAGCACTCTGGAGGCCAAGGCAGGAGGATCCTTTGAGTTCAGAAGTTTGATACCAGCCTGAGCAAAACTGAGATCTCACCTCTACTAAAAATAGAAAAAAAATAGCCAGGTATTGCAGAGGGCACCTGTAGTCCCAGCTACTCAGGAGGCAGAGACAAGAGGATCCCTTAAGCTCAGGCATTTGAGACCAACTGAGCAATGCAATACCCCATCTCTACTAAAATAGAAAAACTAGGCTCGGCGCCTATAGCTCAACCGGCTAAGGCGCCAGCCACGTACACCTAAGGTGGCGGGTTCAAATCCCCAGCCCGGACCTGCC